CCCGAATTTTTTTAGGGCTTGGACAAAATATTTTCAAATTTGGTACGGGCTTGGGCAAAAATTCAGAAGCCCGAATTAAATTTGGATGGGCTTGGGCAAAGACGTCAAACAACCCGAGCAACCGGAAGCCCGAATTATACATATATAGATATATAAAAATATTAAATATACATATAAATTATTAGCAATTACATGATATTAAAGTAATTTATATTGTTAAATCATATTGAATATATATTATATATACAAATAATATCAAGTCTTACTTTTTTTTCTTTTTATTTTCACTCATAAATTGTAAAGACTACTATAGTGGCATCTCTCTTACATTATATAAATTATTTATATGATGGTATTAATGATTTTCTATAAATAAAAAAAAATTGTAAATAGAGTCAAATTTTAATAATTTAATAATGTAGCTGCAAAAACAAAAACAAAAAAAATTAAAATTCATTTACAACTCGGGCAACTCGGGCAATTCGGGTTCAACTCGGGTCGGGCTTGGGCAGAAAATCTCGGGTTACAATTTGGGCTTGGGTGGGCTTGGGCAGGTCTCAACACAACTTGGGCTGGGCTTGGACAACCTCTCAACCCGACCGAGCCTGCCCGAGTTGCACCCCTAGATATAATCCTCCTAAAAAGGCATATTTCGAATGCCTTTTTTCAAGTTTATATTTTAATTTGAAAAAAATTGAGAAGTTTGTGTAGCTCATTATGAGTCATATTTTGATAATTTGAATTATTTATTTTGTGAAACCCAACCCATTTCAAATAAGAAATGGGGTGGCTACTGTGGGTAGGGTAGAGTAGCTATTGTTGTGCGGTCATATGAGCCTATTTCGGAGCTTGTTTTGATAATCAAACCGTTCAATTTTTAAAATACATAGAGTAAAACATATCTATAAAAATTTAAGTTAATCCGAAATCTTTAACCATTTCATCGACTCACATTTGTATTCAATTTTATATTTAAAATCACATTTGTCATTTATTTTATAAATAGAAATGTAATTCAATGAAATGGTTAACAATGTTTAATCAACTCGATTTTTTTCATGGATGTTTTATTTGACGTACTTTAAAATGTTAACAGTTTGCATTATCGAAAAAGGTCTCAAATGGGCTCATATGACCGTACAATAGTAGTTATTGTGCCTCCCCCACAACAGCCAACCCCACCCATCTTCTTTTGGGAATGTAGAGGAGTGAAAGTTCCTTACAATCAATGAATTGATCATATATCCCAAAAAAAGAAAAAAAGAAAAAAAAGAACTAGACTAAATTTTTAAACCCAATGATGTGACAATCAATTAAGATATTAAATATAGCACTCTCTCTTATATCTTCTCTTTATTAACCAATTACATCACTTACACATCATTGAGTTTAAAAAATAGGTTTAGAAAGAAAGTGAATTTTTATATCATTTTCCATAGAAATTTCTTTTTTGTTTTTAACTAAAAAAAGGTTCACAAAAGAAAAAAAAAAGAAAAAGAAAAAGACCCACTCAATTTTCACACATCAATATTTTAGGGTAAATTACACTTACCTCCATTAACGTTGAAAAAAATATAATCAGCCTTATAAATTTAACATAATTACATTAACTTTCTTTTTAGTCAGGTTAAAACAATCAAAACTAATACAGACGGTGAGTAGATAATAAAATAAACAAAGATAAATATAAATATTTTAATAGAAAAAAAGATGATAATAGTATATTTTTATTCATACGACTCACGAATTACTAATGAAAAATGACCAAAATGTTATGTGAATTAAAACTCCAAGTAAAGCCAATATAATTATATAAAAAAGTAATTGTAATTATTTAAAATCTCAAGGAAGCTGAGTGTAATTTATCCATTTTTTAAATAACTTTATCCAAGAGAAGGAAAAAAAAAATGGAAAAATCATTCCAAACCAACCCTGAAATCTTCCCAAATAACTATCCAAATTCCAAATTACTTTCCTTTTGATTAATTGTTATAACCAAACAACCCATGGATGGAGTGAAGATGGTTAGTTTTTTTTTTTTTTCTAGTAAATTATATTTACTGTCCCTGAGATTTAATGAAATTGTAGAAACCTCCCATTAAGTTTTTGAAATGACTTAAACATTGCTAGAGTTTTAATTTTCAATTGCATTGACCTCGAGGTTTAATAAAGGGTTTTTTACTGGCCGGTCTTACTTTTTATAGTTATTCCCTTCTTAGTCCTGAATATTGATGTTGTGCACCAATAGGTCTTGGAGTCTTTTTTTTGTACATGTTTTACCCCTGTTTTGTTTTCCTCTGTTTTGGCACGTTTCTATTTGATTTTTGCCATCAAAATACTGTGATGTGAGTTTGGGTTTGGGTTTGGGTTTGGGATTTGGATTTCTGTGGAATTTCGCGATTTATTAATGCATTATTGTGTAGCTTCGTGATTTGTGATTTCGTGCCTGGTGTATATTTGGATTTTGCGATTTGCGATCTCATGGAGGGAGCTCGATTTGTGATTTGTTTTTTATAAATCTGTGAATCTTCGTGTTTTGTGATTTCGTGTTTGGTGTATAGTTAGATTTTGTGATTTGCGATTTTGTGGAGGGAGCTCGACTGGTATGTTTGATTTTGATTTCAATTTCGATGTTTTGGTGTTTTTTAATTTGAGTTTATGATTTTGATTTTGTTTGTGATATTGTTGTTATTATGTTGTTTCTGCGATTGAATTTGTATTTTGATCATGATATTGAAAGCTTTGAGATATGTATATGTAATGAATTTTAGATTTTTCTTTTTTTTGGTTACGAAATTGTTTTGATTGAACACAGGTGCTGGTTTGTTATTTTATACAGTGATGATTTTATCACTGAGTATTTTGGGCGTGTTGTTGGATTAAATTTTTCAACAGTGATAAATTTATCAGTGAGTATGGGAATACGAGATGAAAAGGTTGCATAATGTAATGGTAAGATTCATTCAAATCGAGTTACCATGCCCAATAAGTGTAAGCCTTATTCACTGTTCATGCTCTTGGTCTTTAGTAGTGTTAATTGTTAAATTTATCATTGTTGGTTTTTGGATGTGTTTGAGTTGGTTGATAATTTTATCACTGTATTAGATTTTGTTTTAGGTTGTTTGAGTTGTTTGCTGAAATATAATTGTTGGTTGTTGTAGGATTTATAGTGATGGAAAATTCTTTGTTTCTTATGTGCAAGTTTTGAGGTGTGACATTGGTTATCAAGTATAATGATGGATTTAATTTTAAGGATTTAGTATATAAATTGTGTGCAAAATAGAGTGAGTTAGTTGGTAGTTCTTTGAATATATCGTATTCAATGCCTGGACATTCTTGTTATGGTCTACAAAGTGAAGAGGATTTGGAGGTTATGGTTGGACTCACACTTTCTTGTGATATTCATCGTATTGATGTTTTGGTTAAGTGTTGTTCTTTAGGTGAATGTTAAATGATTTGTGATGGTGAAGCTGGTAGTAGTAGTAGTGTTGTTTGTGAAATTGATTTTTTGTCTTTATTTTATTGAAATCAACGGAAACATTTGCTCTCCAATAGGTGGGTTAATTGTATAAAAGGAGTGGGTCAAAGGTTTGCTCAAGGAGTCGTTGAATTTTGAGATGCGTTGTCAAAGTATTCTATTCATTTCGATTTTGATTTTGATTTTGTTAAGAATGACAAGGATCGTGTCACTATTCATTATAAGAGAATGGCTGATTTGGGATGTTTATGGAGCGTGCATGCTAGAGTGGAAAATTCTAGTAAAGCTTTTGTTATTAAACAATTTGATGATGTTCATATGTGTGGATCTTCTTTTCGTACAATTAAACATACTAGGATGACTTCGAGTATGATTGGTTTCAAGTGAGGTTTGTAATAAGGCTTTGACATCGGTTAGTGAGGTGGTTTGTGATTTCAAGGACTATTATGGAGCAGAAGTTTCTTATCGGCGAGCTTGGATGGGTGTTGGAAAAATAAGGGATGTTGTTTTTGGTAACTATTCATCTTCATTTGACGATCTTCGTTGGTATGTTGATGCCGCTAATGATTGTAATCCGGTGAGTGTTTTTGATATGAAATTTGATATTGATAGTAAAGGAAGACATTTCAAATGCTTGTTTTTTTGCTTTTGAGGCATGTATTCATGGTTTCAAGTATTGTCGGCCTGTGTTGATACTTGATGAAACTTTCTTGAAAGGAAGACACGAAGGTTGTTTATTGGCTGCTACGGCAAAAGACAGTAACCAAGGTATATTCTGTGTCTATTTGTTATTATCATTAAAACAGTGATAATTTTATCATTTTTGTTACTGGAGAGTGTTGATTATTGAGTATGGTCAATCAATTAGTGATAAATTTATGCTGTATACTTTTGTATACTGTATCCTTTCATTAATTTTTTATATTTATACAGTGATAAATTTATTATGCATTGATTCTATATGTTGTATGATGCAATTGAATTGTTGTAGGAATACAGTATAAAGTTATCTATGGTTGGTGCTATATGTTATATACTTTGCGTTTTGCTTTTGTTTTGTAGTATTTTTTATTTGTTATGAATAATGTGTATATATTTTATTTGTAGGTTTATATTCGTTAAGTTTTGCCATTGTTGATAGTGAACGCTATGACAATTGGCATTGGTTCTTGTCAAAGTTATTTGTTATTTTGACTCTGGGAAGGGATATTGCGTTTGTTACTGATCGGCATGGAGGTTTGCTGAAAGCTTTAGCTGAGGTCTTTCCGTTTTCCTCTCATTCTTTTTGTCTAATGCATTTGAAGACAAACTTGAAGACTTATTTGTCAATGAAGAGTCGCGAATCTAAACAGTATTTGCTCACTCTTTTTAGTAGATGTGCATATGCTCCTACTATTGAGTTGTTTAATGAGCAATTTGAAGAATTTAAGAGTCGCTGTGGTCGTAGTGTTCAGAGGTTTCTTGAGGATTTGCCTAATGAGTGTTGGTGTAACGCTTATTTTCAAAGCAAGACGTATGGTGAAATGTGCACAAATGCTGCAGAATCTTTTAATTCATGGATTAGAGATAAGCGCCATTTGTTTTCAACTAATCTTGTTGATGCTATACGGGTGAAACTAATGGAGCAATTTTCAAAAAGGAGAGAAGTTGGAAATAAGTGGAATCGTATTGTTTGTCCTTTTGCAGAGAAAAAGTTGGAAGAAGCTTTTAATGATACAAAGGCATGGATAGTTAAGAAATGTAGCGATGATATTCACATTCTAACAACTAAATGAATCAATGTTTCCTTTTTATTACACTGTAACAAGCAAACAAGCAAACAAGCAAAATGTTTTCTTTTCTTCCAGATCTGTTGATTATTGCGGAGGCAAGTCATCAATGTTTTCATCAACTATTTATTATTGAGCAGTTTGTTGGTCAGTCAAGAAGATAGTTAATATATCGGCTCTCAATTGATTGCATTCTTCCTTGGAAAAAGTAGACATTATGTTGTTACTAGAAACATATTGCCTCATGATATAGCAAACAATGATTCCACAATCAAGCCTGCAAAAACATTTTGAAAACAAAATATTATAATTTGGTTTCGTTACATTTTTTTTTATGAGAGTGTTTTGTTATTGATCAACTTACGAAGTGTCTTCTTATTGTGGGCTGTTGATGACTCTCTCTGTCTCCTGTTGAAATTTATCAGGGGCAATGAGAGTTGGCTTCTCTTCCTTTATATACTTGTCAATAATCTTTCTCTACAACATATAGATTTGTATAATTGTTCTATTAGAAAGTCAGTTGAAACAATTAATGAGAAACCATAGATTTAAAGGATGATAAAATATATTACTGTATAAATTTTTGATGTATAATTGAGCATGCATCAGGATTGATATATTGGATTAATGGTAAGTTTGATAGTGAAAACATTTTTACCACTTCATTTGCGGTATTGAAGTATGGATCTTTACGCATTGCACCCTTAGTCTCATGAAATTGTAGAATTTCCATGAACCTTCTTCAATGTCAAGGACAAGTATTGTTCAATGAAAATTTTGGTGGATTGGGAAGAGAAGGTATATTCCTTTCATGGTTTCAAGCATCACCCTGTTCAACATTTTCTTTGTTGCTTCCTCATCTTTTGTTGTCAACAAGTGCTAACTAATATAAATAAAAAAATGATGTTAATTTAAGCTTTTTCAAATTGAGTAGGTGGCAAGTATGCAATTTATAGTGATAAATTGAAGTACTTGTATTATAATACTTTGTTTTTAACTTAATAAGCAAACAAAGTATTATAAAATCACAATAATGAACTCAACTACACAACATAAACAGAAAGGCTTAAATAATTTGCTACTACAAAATTAAGCAAATTTATCACTGTGATCAAAATTTTATCACTCTATATCAAAATTTATCACTGCATTGCAAAATTCATTACTCAGTTAAGCAAACAGAGGTTATACATTAATAAAACTTATTTCTTGAATAATTTCCTAGCATAGATGAGATGCCGTGTAGATCACAAAGAATTTTTGCATTAAACAATACATAAATATCTGAAAAAAATGACAAATATTATGTATTACTTACATGGTAACTTGAAATGAATATGAATGATGTTGTTCCTTTTTTTTGTACAAGCAAGTATTCTGCATATGCGTCTATTACCTGTGTTGAAAACAAAAAACAAAACAAGGAATTAATATAAATCAAAAACTAAAATGTTATTTTAATGAGTTACAAATTCAATTTACAATGTCTGCCAAATCTTCACCCTTCAATATTTTGTCAATGTCATTTAAATAGACATAGGTTGCATGGTCAAGTCCTTTTGTCAATGTTATAGCAAATTTTATTACTAAATTAAGCAAAGTAAGCAAATATGTCATTGTATAGCAAATTTTTTCATTGAATTAGCAAAAGTAAGCAAATCCATCATTGTATAGCCAATGAACACGAAGATGTGATTATTATGAAGTTGAATATCACTGATAAATTAATACTATATGTATAAATTGAAAATAGCTTCAAGATGAATTTTATCACTTAATTATAGTTATGAAAGAAGAAGGGAAGCAAATTCATCATTATAACAAATTTTATCACTCAATTAGGCAAATTAAGCAAATCTGTCATTGTTATAACAATTTTTATCATTGAATTAGGTAAAGTAAAGAAATTCGTTATTGTATAACAAATGTTATCACTCAATTAGGAAAACTAAGCAAATCTATTATTCTTATTGCAAATTTTATCACTAAATTAGGCAAAGTAAGCAAATATGTCATTGTATAGCAAATGAATATGAATATATGATTATTATGAAGTTGAATATCATTGATAAATTAATACTGTATGATACACATTGAAGATAGCTTCAAGTCGAATTTTATCACTTAATTATAGTTATGAAAAAAGAAGGAAAGATGAGTACGACTCACATTTGATTGACATGTTTGTTGAAGATGAACTAAACAGGTAGAGTAGATGTCTGAATCAAAATATAGATCGAACCGGTGGAAGATTTGTTGGGGATCTGTTCAGAATCGGTATGAAAACAATTGCCGATTTCTTTGGAAACGATGGGAGATTCGTCGAAAATCTCTTTGTTTGTTTCGATTTCCAAATCGAAAATCGCCTCAGAATGGTTTCCAAATCTTCACAAGTTCACCTGCAACAGAACCCTTGAAAAGGCGCATGTGTGTCACGCGCGCAGGAGAGAACTCGTGATGGCGTCTTTGCTTCACACGTGTGGTGCGATATGGAGGAGTAAAATTGGAAATGAAAATAGGACATGACTTGACTAGTATTAACCTATTTTCATGGGATCGGCTGGTAAGTCCCCCTTTAATAAAAGGTTGAAACCTCTTTTAAGGTTTAGTTTTCAATTACACTAACTTCCTTTGAGGTTTAATAAAATTGTAGAAACCTCCCTTGAGGTTTAATTTTTTATTAATATTTTATTTTCTTATGTTACTTTATCGTAAAAAGTATAATAGAAAAAGTTAACATTATTAAATAGTTTAATTATATTTTTAATTTACCTTTTAAAATTGTGTTCAATTAGAAAGAAATAATATATATATATATATAATTTCTATTGGGGGCTTTGGATAAATGAGGCATACATAATCAACAATAACTACAAGAATAACAAAGAGAAAAATAAGAATTTTTTATTTTATTTTATTTTATTTATTTTTGTAATTGGACTTCATTTTAAAGGGCAAAAATAGAAATGTAACTAAATTATTTAATGATGTCAACATTTTTTTTGTTATTTATTTATTTTTTTACGATGCTAGGGAATTTTTAATAAATGAGGCACACACAATCAATAATAATTGAAGGCATAATAAAGAAAGAAAATAAAAATTATAAATATTTTTATTTATTTGTAATTGCACACAGTGAGTAAATTAAAAATACAATTAAACTATCTTATGATGTCAGCATTTTTTGCTAGTTTTTACGATAAAGTAGCACAAAAAATAATTTGTAATAAAAACTAAACCTCAAGGCAGGTTCCTGTCACTTTAAAACCTTGAGGGAGGTTTTTACAATTTCATTAAACATCAGGGGAGGTCAATGTATTTGAAAACTAAACCTTAATGAAGGTTTCTGTCATTTCAGAAACCTTAGGGGAGGTTTCTACATTTCATTAAATCTCAAAAGAGGTCTGTGTAACTAAAAGCTAAACCTCAAGAGAGGTTTAAGTCATTTCAAAAACCTTAGCGGAGTATTCTGCAATTTTACCAAAACTCAAGGGAGGTCATTGTAGTTCACCTCTTTTTTTTTTTCTTTTTTTTTTAAGTTACAAAATTATTTTTCTCCCTCCCTATCTCTCCGTATTTTGTACATGCGGTAACTTTAAGGAATTGATTTAGTGGGTGTAATTTGGGATGTGCTTGTTCGAATTATATGCATTTCGATTAATCCCGAGATTCACGAGCTGAACGAATCGAGCCGAACTTTGTTATGGTCGAGTTTAGTTCTTTTGTTTATTAAGTTTAAATTCGACTCGAAACTCGATAATGAAGTATTATTATTATTTATATTGTTTAAATATATAAATAATATATTTATATATTATTTAATAAAAAATTAAATAAAAATATTATTTATATTATTTTAACATATAAATAATATAATTATGATATTATTTATACATACTTTATATTAATTAATATATAAATAATATATTTATTTTATAATTTAAATAAAGATAAACAAGTCGAACTTGACGAACCAAACTTATTCGAGTTTGAATTTGGCTCATTTACAAAAATGAACTTAAAATTTTAACTCGAACTCGTTCATTTACCCAACAAGCTGAACTAAGCTGATTCGAACTCTTAACAAATCAAGGCGAGTCAAATCGAGCACAAAACAACTGGATTTGTTTGCAGCTATAATCACAATATATAATTTGGAGCTAACATCCCAATCTCTTTCCAAATGCTCCGTCAAAATGAGTTTTGCTTTACAAACTTCATATATGTACACTTTTATTTTATGATCAATTTGCCAACTTATGAGAATATATATTAATATTAAACCCCCACACGTGTTTGACTTTGCCTTGCAGGTGTAACACACTTGCCTTATCGTCTTATTGATCAACTCCACCACTTAATCTACAAAATTGCACCCAAGTTAAGTTTTGTTTTGTTTTGTTTTGTTTTTTTTTTTTGTTCAAGGGAGACACTTCTCCATGGGGCACAAAAAAAGCACTTCTTTCATTTTTCTTTTCAAACACATATTAATCTATAAATTTATGATCCAACCACAATCCAAATCTTCACCCATTAAACTAACAAGTATCTTCCTCTTCCTCAGTTGCCACCAGTGGTGAAGCCAAGAAATTATATCGGGGGCACTAATTAATTATAATCTTTAAAATTTTTACAAAAATATTTCACATAATTTTTTATGATTGACTTCAACAAAGATAAATGTATATATATATTATTTGTAATTTGTATATCATGAACAATATAAAAAAAAATCATAGATATAAGTATTAAAATAAATTATATAATGATAAAATAATTTTTTATACAAAATTTTAGTAAAAATTTAATATAATAGTAATAGTACGTTATTATTGACATATGATATCACCAATTAATAGTAAAGAAACACATAGAGGATGAACCCTACATGTCAAATGTAACTAATAATTCAATAAATTATAGCTCTATCTCAACAGACTCAAAACATTAATATTTGTTTTTCCACAGCCCTTCTACAGCTCAAAAATGGCAAAGACAGCACA